TGTCCGGTGCCCGCGCAACCCTCTGCGGAGATCGTGCGTGTCGAGCACGCGAAATGCAGGCGAGCAGTGGCGTCTTTGTAGTACAACTTTAGTACGCGGGGTATCTGGGTAGCTGGAAGAGGAGAACTGGTGACTTGGTAGTACAACTTTAGTACGCAGAGCAATCTGTGGAGCTGGAAGCTGAGAACTGGCGACTTTGTAGTACAACTTTGTCCCACAAGAGTGTCCCACAAGAGTGTCCTACAAGAGTGTCCCACAGGAGTTTCCTACAAGAGTGCCCCACAAGAGTATCCTACAAGAGTGTCCTACAAGAGTGTCCCAGAAGAGTGTCCCACAAGAGTGTCCTACAAGAGTGTCATTTGGAAACCCCCTGAATGAGACACTATGAAATGTCGATCCTGTTCCCTTACAACATGTTTTCCGACCATACATTTTATAGTCCCAGACTGGGGGTCCATCATAAAAACGAAGGTTTTGGAGCAGAGGATCAATACAATTTATAAAAGGTCTGTTCCTTAAGAAGTGGAACATATTTCAGTGGGTCAATACATTCTGTAAAACACATGTTGAATGTTTATGTTTGATTATGTTTGAATTTTTTTTTCATGAGTGTTCCTTCTGCCTGATGTGGGTTTGGCCATGGGTACCAGACAAAGACAAAGACAACAGCCGTCAGAAAGACATCAGACGAATTGCTGAAAAAAAGAGGGCCACATAGGGCCGCTGAGCGTGTTTGGAAGTGGGTCAATGCATTTTATATAAACAAAATTCCTTAATGTTTGAGTGTTTTCGTAGTGGGTCAATACATTCTATAAGCAGCGGGCTCCGCCATGCTGAATTTGGCGTGTAGCGTCCTGACATTCTATAAATCCAGCAGTTTAACATTTTATAGTGAATTTTAGGTGGTTTTACATTTTATACCACTAGTTATTTATGAAATGAAAATCCACAGCCAGCTCCTCATTCAAGAGGGATCATTTGGACATATTAGTTTTTCGAACGTGTTTGCATGCGGGTTCGTGGGTTCCATCATGTTTGACTTGAAAACTCATCCTAGAAGATGTTCCATCCTGTGAACACGTTATGCTTTCAGGAAGAGGTGGCCCATTGCCAAGGCAGATTGGACGCCACAGGCCTTCTGTATGCTTACTTGTGTTGCTTACTTCTGTCTGCTTGTCTGCTGACACGCAAAAGAACGTCAAAGATTGAGAACAAATTGGTGTTTGGGCAATCCCTTTGCTACGGCCTCCTCAACAAGGGGCCTTGTCTTTCATGTCTTTAGGAGATGGCCCGTGGGCTGGATCGGCCAACCGGGAACCGGAGCTTGGGCCGTTTCCAAGTGGATCTCAGCGTGTGGAAGCCAAGCAGAGGGACAGGGAAGAGGAACCTGCAAATTTACGACCCTTCCGTTGACAAAACATATCAACTTTGACAACAAAGAACCTACACTGGTAGAACACTTGTTTTTTCCTCTTCGCCGCATATCTGACTGACCAGGGTTCATCTCATGTCAGGCTGTGGGTGTGTCGCGACCTTAGTTGAAGAATTCAGCCTGTTCCTTCCACTACTACCGGGCTTCTCAACGCAGCTGCAAAGGGAGGCAGCTCATGCGATTACTCTCCAGAAAGGATCCTGCAAGACTTGCGGAGAATGTCACATACAGTCGGGAGTTTGGGGTCTTAAACATGCAGCAGTGGGTTTGCTGTTCTGTGCGCCAGGCCATATATCAATGCAGCCTACGTGCCTGGTCTTACTGAGGAGGTATCCTATGTTGTGTCGGTATCTGAGAGGGCTCAGGTGCTTTCTTTCTACGTGGCACAATGTCTGTGCACAAAAATTGCAACAAAATAGAAATAGAACCTGTGCAGTTGTTCTCCCTTATACCACTCATTTTAATGTCTTGACTGACAAAAGATTTCCTGACGTGACAGAAGGTTCAGATTTTGCCTGTGAAGCGTTATGGATTTTGGTCTTGCCCCATTCGGAAGTGGAAGACCGTAGATCATGATGAATCCTGTTGATATCTTGCAAGAAAGGCCCTGCAGGGCTCCAGACCCAAGCGTATGTTTATGAACAATCTGTGAACATGCACCAGTAGATAATTCTGTTCATAATCAAATCCAACCTCCTGATTGTGGCTCATCCTCAGGACTCAGCATCCACTGCCAAGCACAGTTGGCCATTTCTGGCAGATGGTCATTCACCTGCAGCCAACAGCCATCGCGTGGACCTTAAGCCATCTATGGTACCAAGCCTACTGAGTCTGTAGATTCAATCAATGGGAATGTCCGAGTATCCGGTCCTAAAACTTTACTCTTCAAAGTTAGAGTGTGATAAATTCAGGGTTTTGAACGTTCCAAACGTCCCATTATTGCAACATGGGACATGCTGGCATGCCCTCAAAGTGGCGCAAGGGAGCTTCAGGCTGCCAACTAGAACCCGGAGTTCAGACGGGGGCCATGTTTCGACCCAGTTCCAGATTCTGTGCCCGCCGAACCTGCACATTGACATCGTGGCAGATCTTCTTCTTGCAGCTTGCCCTTTGCTTGGCCGACCTGGGCCGACCCCACCCATGGCGGCAGTTGAGTGACTGGGTACTTTCAATCTGATCCTGCTTATCCTGTCATAAGTGCCGCGCTCCGTAGAGAGGACACACAGGGTACAAATCCTCAACAAAGCAGATGCCCCTGAGAAAGACCCTTGGAGCAATAGAGAGTGCTCTGCTGTGAAACTCTGTGTCATTGGTTTTCCGATGCTGGCTGACACACCAAGTTCTTTTTGTTGCAAAGGCACTGGGTGGCTGCCCTGCTGTTCATATCTTCTCGGCCTTTTTTTTGGCTATGGGCCAGCCTGCTGCCCAAGTGCAGCAGCGCACTAACCCTCCTCCTTCCTTGCTCGCTTGCTGTTTGTTCAGTATGTGTTTTTGCAGCTTGAAGGAAGCTTTTGGTTTGGCAGTTGAACAGGGTGGCATAGCTGCTTTCGCAAAACGCCTCCCGCCCCCCCCCTTATTTGGCCCAAGTGCCTGTCTTGGAGTGTGGTGGCCTGCCAGCCCTGGTACCTGCAAGGCTGACTTGGCCTCGTGCATCAATCATTGCAAGAAGTGGAAGGAAAGAGTAGTACCTGCGAAAAGCCACCTACGGGCGAAAAGCCACCTACGCCCTGCACAGGGAGGCTGCAACCAGGCTGCGACCTCGCCACACCGAAACAACCCGGCCCTGGAGGCTTCAACGCGGCTGGGAGCGACTGCTGCCAGCGCCTAACGTTGCCTTCGGAATCCGATAGAAAAAGCAGTCTAGGACAAGCGCCAGGTACCTGTGCAGGGAGGCCGCAACCAAAGGCTCTGAGGGGCTCAGTTTTGCCACACCAAAACACCCTCGCCCACACCGAAACACCCTGACCCTGGAGGTTTCGCTGCCAGTCTAACGTTGCCTTTGAATCCCGTAGAAAGAGCAGTCTGAACAAGCGCCAACGCCACCACCTCAGTCTCGCCACACCGAAACCAAGGCTGCCTGGCTGCCTGTGTCTAATGTTGCCTTCGGAGTCCCGCAGAAAGGGATATCTAGGGCAAGCGCCAGGTTCCTGCGAAAAGCCACCTGCAGCACAGGCGGGCTAGCCCTGGAGGTTTCAACGCGGCTGAGAGCGACCGCAGCCAGTCTCTAACGTTGCCTTTGGAATCCATAGATAGGACGTGACAGTGTCTAACGTTGCCTTGGGAGGGCATACAGGAGTGGCCCCAGGAGTTTACAGAAAACCGCTTCCAACCTGCGTCCCATACGCCGCCCCGCCTAGGCGTCAGCTAGGCCGGGTCAGCGGATATTATTTGCGCTCTTTTGTTGAATTTGAAGTAGGTTCTAGCCGCAGCCCTCCGAAATTAGCGCTGTACAGACGGTTTGTCGTAGTGTGACATATATGTCTTCAAACTCTTGCCTGCAATCAGTATGAAACATTATGAAACCATGCTGGCAACTCATTGTTATTTGAAATAAAGTAAGAACCCCATAGCTTCGCTATCTGGGGAATAAGATCCCATATAGCTGTCATTCTCCACCCAGCGCCGGCGCCCGGCACCCTGTCTCCACCTCGCGCACAGCCAGCACCCAGCACCAGCACCGGCACCCTGTCTCCACCATGCACATGCACAGCCAGCTCACAGCACCAGCACCGGCACCGGCGCCACCACCAGCAACCTGTCTCCGCCACATGCACCAGCACCAGCGCCGGCGCCCGGCACCAGCACCAGCAACCTGTCTCCAGAGCTGGGTGCCGGTGTTGGTGCTGGTGCTGCGAGCTGGCTGTGCACGCGGTGGAGACAGGTTGCTGGTGCTGGTGGGGGTGCTGGGTGCCAGGCGCCGGCGCTGTGAGCTGGCTGTCCACGTCGTTGAGACAGGTTGCTGGTGCTGGGTGCCGGGTCTGGTGTGCTGGTGCTGGGGCTGGGGGCGGGCGCCGTGAGCTGGCTGTGCACGTGGTGGACACAGGTTGCTGGTGCTGGGTGCCTGGCGCCGGTGCTGGTGATTCAAAAGGGGCTGACGCCCACCAGCGGGCCAGCAGGCCAACCAGCAGAGGTTTCATGAGGCTTCGTATTGTTGTTGTTGTTGTCATCGCTGCTGTAGTAGTAGGTCGTCGTCGGCGTCGGCGTCCTAGTAGTCGTCGTCGTCGTCTTAGTCTTAGTCTTAGTCTTAGTCTTAGTCGTCGTCGTGGTAGTGGTAGTGGTAGTGGTAGCGGTAGCGGTAGCGGTAGTAGTAGTAGT